TACCACCCCAAGACACTTCCTGCAAAATTCCTTTAATTAAAAAAAAAAACTTTCTGACAAAAAATTAACACAAAGAATGTACATCTACTCAATGAAACACTACAATCATTAAAAACGAAAACTATCAAGACCTGCAAGTAACTCATACAACAGTATTGCCAGTGCTAAAAAAAAGAATTCAAATAGCAATCATATCATAAAAGTGATGCAAAAAACGGAAACTGAACACGGCCACTGGATGGAAAACATTTAGAAGATGATGCCCAGACAGTAGGGTAGGTAGAGCAGTTTATTTTCATTTTGGCTTAGCTTAACGCACTATTACATAAACAAACTTCATGTAAAGATCATTCTTTGTAAAGGCTTTGCGGACTTTATTCACATTTTCACATTCCGAAGCTGACATTTACATACAGTATCCAAGGAGTCCTGACAAAGCATACTGTGGTCAGTTCCTAAAGAACCAGATTAGCTCCTGTTAATGTCCCAGCCTCTTAGAGAGAGGGGCAAAGCCATCAGGAGAAAAACCAGAAGGGTTGACATCCCCTTATATTTGAATAGTACATTATACCTAATGTGTCCTTGATCATTTCAGTGGCACCATAAGCTGGTCAAAGATTTCTATCCTCATAAAATTATTCCAGTGGCAAGAGTCAAGCAATGGCTCTGAGGACGGACTCCTGGCTCAGCTCCTTCCTCGCTGGGTTGTTGGAAGCTAATTACTCTATTTTACCTTATCTTTAAAACGCAGATAATACATGCTACTTCACAGAACTACAGTGAGGATTAATCCTGATAACTTTAAGTACCTAGCACGGCCTGACTTTTAAAAGGAAGTGATTGTTTCCTTAGGTGGGGGAGAGAGGTAGTGGTTGAGAATGACGCCTTTTTATTAAAAATCATTGGAGTGACATTAATAAAATCAAGTAAGTTTCAAGTGTACAATTCAACGGTATGTCATATACATATATTGCATTGTGTATTCACCACTCAAGTTCTGATTTCCTTCTGTCACCAAATATTTGACTCCTTTTACCCCACTTACCTCCTTCTGCCCTCCCTTCCCTCTGATATCATTAATCCACCATCCGCGTCCATGAGTCTGTCATGTTTGTTGCTTTCAATTTTATATTCCATACATGACTTATTTTGCTTAGCATGATTTTCTCAAGATCTATGTTGTCGCAAATGGTAGTATTTCATATTTTCTTACAACTGGGTAATATTCCATCACATATACATACATCTTCCTTATCTAATCATCTATCGTAGGACGCTTCTGTTGCTTCTATGTCCTGGCCACCACGAATAATGGTGCTATGCACATCGGGGTGCATGTATCTTTGCGGATGTTTTCAGGTTTTGGGGGTAAATATCCAGAAGAGGGATGGCTGGGTCATACGGTAATTCGATTTAGTTTTCTGAGGAACCTCCTTACTGTTTTCCATGGGGGGGAATGATGGCTCTTAATGTCTCCTGCTCCCCAAACCAAGGGCCACCTAAGTCCCCACAGCACAGAGCAGGAGCCAGCAGGGCTCTGGCAAAGGCAGAGAAAGCCAGAGTCTTCCTTCCACCATAACTAACATAATATCTAGCACACAGTCAGTGCTCAAAGAACGTCTTATAAATGGGCTAACCCAGGAAGGGAGCCCTTTCTCATCAGCTGATTATGAAAAAAAACAAAACAAACAAAAACCAGGAGGAAGAGATCAACTATTTGAACTCAAACTCTGGCTCCACGACAGATTTTTGTGCTGCGTACAGGGCACTAGCATTTACTATTATGAAAGACAAACTTTTCTGTTAGTTAACTTCAGCTATTTTTACCACACATGCCTCTGCATGGTACCACTTAAAAATATTCAGAAACCACTCCTTTTCATAAACAAAAAGAAAATAAAATTGCTCCACTAATATTTTCTTATCTCTATCCCTCCCCTAAGTAGCCTGTATCAATTCCACTTAGAGAAATAAAGCTAAAAAGTCTTAATAAGACAAAACTGTATCCTAGAGGTAAAAATTCTAAACTAACTCCAAGTGAATGCTAACGGGTAAAGAACTCGCAAAAGCAGTTTAAAATGAACATGCCTTTTTCATTAATTTACTGTAACATTCATAAACTGTTTTAAGGCACATAAATATCTGTTTTCAGTCCTGTGTATCTGACCAGGTCAGAAGTGGTAGGGTTCTGTTTCCCCGATCACTAAAAATTCAGCTCTTCAATGGATGACAGAGTAGTACAGTCAAATGATGGCCATGCGGCCTTTTAAATATGAGGATATTAAATTAGCAAATCATTGTGCTATTCTTCCAAGAAGTCACAAATGACCCTCCTCTGTGACCAGGTTCTGGGGCTCTGGACATACATTTTAAGCCACAGAATCAGATGGGTACACTTTGTAACTAAGAGGTCAATATCCAAAAAAAACTCCTTTACCCTTTCAACAGCATGCTTCATGCATATTCATGACCATTTAGCATAATTTCCTTCTCTATGGGTCCAACCTGCACCCAAGAGCTAAAAAAGAGTTAAAGGACAACATGACATTCAGGATTTCCCAGTTCCTCTGATAGGAAGCAGAGGCAAGTCTCCTCCCTCCAGCCCCTGTGAGCTGCACTGCTGAGAGCTCTCAATAAGGGACCAGATCTTTGCCTTTACTGGGTAATATTCTTGTCATTCAGTATGAAAGCCCAACAAGGACTACAGCCCGTGGGAGGTGTGATCACTGACAGAGGACATCAAATCCGACACACTGGTGAGGTCTCAAAAAGAGGCTAGAAAGGAGATGAGAGTTCAAATGAGTCTTCTCTTCTCCCTGCCTAGTTCCCTCTACTTGTAACACCAGGCCTCAGCTGCTTTGCTGGAACCCCTTCTGACTCTGCATTTTCCATGGGATGGAAATTATATTTACTGTGATGTGTGAGATTAAAACCCACTGTACACTGAGCTGAGCCTTATTCACCATGCACTAATGCTGCTTCAGGTGGTTCATCACACTGCTTTATTCTAAGGTAAGGGGACAGGGTAGAACCACATGAATTTAACATCTTGCTGAGCCTGAATTGTGCATGAAGTGCTCTTATCTGCAGTTACCTGCCCACCCCACAGAACCACTCTCCACTAAAGAGACTATAATCTGCTCACATCTAAATTATGATGAACAGGAATATTTCCAATGGAAAAATCATCACACATTTTAATTTGCACTGCCAATTAGGAGAGCTTTAGGAAAGAAAAAAAAAAAAAACCTGATCATCTTACATACAGTACTTTGCCCTAACTGGTGCATAATGGGTCAAATATAATTTGTGGAATACCCTCAGATAGCAAATAGTTTAACATTTTAGAGCTACCAAAATTTAGCCTAATTTGACAAGAAAATATTCACTTCCAACTACATACACATTCTTGGACATTATGAACTTCCTAAGCATCAACTATGTATACAAGTGGTGGAAGTGGGAGTCCAGCAGAAAAACAGGCTTCCGAAGCGATACATTCTCCAGATACATTTGCTGATGAAATTCACAAGAAGCTCAAAGCTCCTTCCATAAAGGTTTAAGTCTTGGAGAAACCTGAACCTTCTAAAAGCATAGCATATTAACTGTCTGGTAACACCAGTGGCAAAGGAAAAGGAAAAAAAAAAAAAAGCAATCTAACCCTTTCCATCTTGAATTAGTTTATTTTCCTTACTTCTAATATCTCCCATCACTGGAGAATTTTAAAAACAATTCTCTTTCTTATAAACATCCACAACAGATTCCTCCTCAATGTCCACTTTCAGGCAGCCTTTTAGAAATCACTAAATGGCCAAAGTGACCATTAGTGGCCCTAACTTTGACCCAGGCAGGTGACAGCGGCCTGGGCTCAGACACCACTAGACACTCCAGGAGCTTGGCGTCGGTCGCTTCTGTCTCCATTGCCAAGGCCCAGCACCCAGGTGAAGTAAAGAGGTAAACACCAGTCGAAGGTAAGGTGGAAGCAGTAAGTCAGAGGAGCTCACAAAAGCAAGAAAAAAACCCAACCCTCACACAAAGCATCTCTTGGGCTCCCACAAGCTGCTTCCTTCCCTTTCTAAAAGTTTTATTTTTAGCTCTCCTCAAAAAGTTGTTGTTGCTTACCTCTGGAAGTTGTTGTTGCTTACTTCTGGGAGAAAGAAAAAAAAAAAAAAAACACGTATATTCATTACTAGAAAGTAGAGAAAAGTTCTTTTAAAAAGTGAAAAAGAAAACTGAAGCCACGTTCACATTCTCATCACCCACTGAAACATTTGGGTAACTTACGCTCAAGTGTTTGTTAATGAGATTTTTAAAACCTAGTTAAGACCCTAACGCGTTAATTGGGGTCGTGCTGCGTATACGGTTTGGGATCTTGGGGCTTTTGTTTTTAATTTGGCCTAATGACGCTGCCATCCCCACCCCCATCCCGCCCCAAGTGGTTACAAATTCCTTGAAAACATTTACAAAAGTTCTAGAACAAATACAAAAGCATTCCTTTTAAACTCCATTTTCTAACGTGAACCGGTCTTTCGACTATAGTAAAATTACACTTTTCTTAAACTTCCTTATCTCTGCGCCAATTCCCCGAGAAAGGTGGCGGGGGGACGCACCAGAAAAGCTCCCACCCCCGTGCCGGGTGCCACGAACGCAGCTAACGCAAGCGCTGCGCCCCTGCTCCCTCCCCGCATGCACTTCTCTCGAAATGCGTTCACTCCTGGGACTCCCGGCCGCAGCGACCGGGCCTGCGACCTCTGGGCACCCATTCTCTGGGACCGAGCCCAGCGCCGCACTGCGGCCCGGCCTCTGCAGTCCGACTGGCACAACCTTGACCCACAGCGCACACCTGTAGGGCGCGCCCGCTCCGCGGGACTGGGCACGCCCGATCCACAGCGCCGTAGCCAAGGGCCACGTTTCCAGCCCAAGGCGGGGAAGAGGGCCGGGAGCAAAGGGAAGGCAGGCCCTGGGGACGTCGGGGCTGCGGCGAGCCGCCGGACCCTCACCTGGGAGCGAGTTGCCAACTCCATTCTTCCACCCGGTTCCAGCCTCCTCGCACGCAGCCACGGGAGCCTGGCTCGCCACGGGCCCGACGCACGGAGAGCACCCGCGGTCGCGCAGCCCGCGCGCAGCGCCCGGAGCTCCGGCGGGCCGGGGGAGGGGCCCACTCGGCGCCCGGGACAGGGGGAGCGCAAGGCGCCACCCACTCGGCGCCGCCGCGCTGGGCCGCGGGGCTCCGGTCACAGACACAAACTTCGCGACCAGGGAACTTCGCTTTGCAGGCGGCGCGAGAAGGGGCTGCAGATGGGCGTGGCCCAAGGCGGCTGCCAGTGTGGGGGTGCAGGGCTCCCCCCTGCAGCGGAGGGAGGGAGTGGAGCCGTCCGGCCTGGTTTCGCGCGGGAGAAATGTGAGGGGGCAGTCCCGGCGCAGCCTCCAGCTGGCACGCCCCGCCACCGCGCGGGATGTTTGCAAGGTTTATTCCAGCTTGTGCCCTGGAGCGCGAGCCTCGGTGCTGCAATCAGTGTTTCCGATCTAGGAAAGCATTTTAGGGCTGCTTCAGAGCTTGTCTTGTTTTGTTGTAAGGGGCGGGGTTGTGCCGCCTCCCAAAATCTTTCGCTACGGAGTTCACTTTGCAAAACAGGCAACCCAAGTTTCTTCGCCAAGGCCCGGGGTGGGAAGCTGCAAAGACGCCTGGAACTTTCGATGGCCTTCGCTATACCATGGTACACGTAGGCCTCCAGCGCCGCTGGACAGGGGATTTCGAGGGGTCAGGAATGCTGATTAATTTATAACAAATATTGGTTGAGCACCTACTATGTATTAGGCCTGGGAACACACAGTAGAACAAAAAACAGGTCCTTGCTGCGTTGGAGCTTACAGTCTGGGAGCCAACCACCTACACGATGGTATAAATGTAATAAGGATGCTAATAAGTGTAGTAATAATGTAATTATGAATTTGGTTAATTAACGTTGGAGTCAAATAATGCCATTAATTAATGGCGACAATGCATTCGATAATGATGAAAATAAATGTAAATTTGAAGATATGATAGATGCCCCGAGGGAAAAGGTAAGTGGTACTTTGGTGGTGTAAAACAGGGGACTTAATATGGCACAGGCCAGGGAAGACTTCGTAGAGTTCAGATAACGAGAGTGAAGAATTAAGCGGGTAGAGACTGGAAGGCTTGAAGCAGGCATCGTGGAGGGTGGAGGGTGGAGGATGGAGGGTGGTCGGCGTAGTTGTCCTGAAGTCATAGCAGGTTTGCTGGGTAGTACCGAAAGCCTGTTTACCCCTGCAGTCATGAGTTCATGGAGGAATACTATGCATGAGGCCTTCTGCAGCCCACCTTGGCTGCTTGGGATCCGACCTTCATCTTTGTTGGAGTGAATGAAGTTGGCCAAACACGCTAGAGGAGAAAACACCTGGGAACTGTCCTTTCTTTCACTGGTTTTGCAAATATGCTCTGTGCCATCTGTGTTCCAGACCCACGAGGTGGTTAGCCCAATAAAACACTGCCTGATTTAAGAAAATGTTTTCTTTTTGGATAATGTCAACTATTGATTATAACCACTTTCACTTTTACTACGCTTTAGAATTTTCCTTCACAGTTTCTCCTTGAAATTCTCAATGTTCTTCCAGATTCTCATTATCCACATTTTTCAAATAAGGCAGCAGAATTGAAAATGTATAAGGAGAAAGACCCCTGCCACCCTGCTATTAAATGACAGCTGCAGATCGCCAAATTGGAAACCAATCATTATGCCTCAGATTGAACATTCTCTCCGTTAGTCTTTACATTTTCCCTTTGGCTGCCAGGAAACTCAGAGAATTTATTCAATCGGAACTTTTTTTTTTTTTTTTTGCTTCTCCATGAACCAGTGATCTTATTATTTTCATTTATCCCCTTTCATTGTAGGTTGTATCAAATCTCTTTTGGAAAAGGGAGTATAAATTTGGAGTAAGCCATATTTCGCAAAGCACTTGAAGCAACCTCCTTCTTACTTGGAAATCTGAAAGCAGCTGAGCATTCTTGCTGTAGGAATTTGCTGTAACCAGTCCTAAGTCTTCAGATGGCAACCTGGAAACTTTCTTCCTTTGCCTGGCAAGCCCATGCACTTGAATGGTACTTAGTAATCAATTCTATAGGGATGTGTTTTCTTGTCAAATTTTGGGTTACTTCTGTTTAGGGAAATCCCTAAGGAACCAGGGGATTTTAACATCCTGTGCTAATACTTCCTAATCATGATGGGATTAACAACATGTGAGCATTGGGTTTCAGCATGGCACTGCAAGAGTGATTTGACTGTCCTTTCCCAGCAAAAAAGGAGACAAATGTTTGCAAAATTCCTTTAAGAAGTCTCTGTCTAGAAATCTATGCTTGCTTGCTTTTCACATATTTTTATGAGAGAATAAAAACTTGGTCCATAGTACCGTCAACAAGGTAAGATATTTGTAAGCAGATGCCATCACACATGCTTTAAATAACAGGAAATAGTTATGCTTGGATGTCAGCCCTGGCCCAGGGCTCTTTCAAAGGAGTCCAAGTATCTCTCCTCTGCTCTGAAGTAGTAGCTCGGCACTACCCTCAGAGCTCAGCTGTAGGTAGACTCCTAAATCCACCCTTTATCACACCAGTTTTGGTGTTCTGGACAACCCAGCAAAGAATCCGCATTTAACAGAGCTGGAAGCAATGTGGGTAATATCTGAACATTGCTTAGTGTTATATTTGATCATGAATAAACAAAGTGCCATTTAAACAAGATAACATCCCTGGTTGTTCTCTATCTGCTGGTATCTTGAAACTTTCCTCTCATTCAGATTAGATAAGACCTAGCCTAGAAGGAGAGAGATCCTTAAATTTGAGACACTCAGAGATAAAATTTCCAAGTTGTAGTAGATTAAAAGATCTAGAATTGAGTCTCTTGTAGCAAAATTATCATCTAACGGTGACTGGGTGCCTTTCTGGAAAGTTTGCTTCAGTTACAACCTGGTATTCCATCTTCCTGACTAGGCATGCCAAGATGCTGCTGTCACAGCCGCACGATTTAAGTATATTCTGATGATAATCATTTGAAAGGCTATGGAGAGAAGGACCTGAACAACCAATAATCGATGCTTTCATATACTGGGTGCAAAAAAGTACACATCATAATGAAACTGTAGTGCCCATGGTGCTAAGAAAAAGTCGATAACAGTGGTATCAATAATGGCAGCTAACTTAACGAGGCCTGGCTGTGCACCAAGCCCTGTGCGGAGTTCACCACAACGTGCATTCTCTCGTTTAATCCTTCAGCTGTGAGTTACCCATCTGCTCCCCAAAAACAGAGCTGTGGAAATAAATGAAACAATATTTTCAAAGTATTTGGGATTTCTTAGAGATGCTATGTAAACTCCAAACGTGATTAACGCAATCCACATTCCATAGGTTTTTGTACAATATATATTAATTTAGTCTGTGGACATAAAATATGATTATAATGAGGCAGTAGTAATAAGTGGATGAAAATGAGAACATTTAATAACTCTTTCAAAGAACTTATATATTAGAAAAGGAAATCGTAATGATCCATTTCTAATTAGCAACACCAACGGAAGTGCTGTGGTCCATAGCTTTTAAACTAAGTTTTTTCATAATGCATTATACAAGTAGCATTTTTAAAGTCATCTATAAACTATCAACATAGAGTTTAGAATAAATCTATAAGAAATAAATTATTTCTTAAATGACATAAAAGTCACATTTCATTACATAGAAAAAATGTTTTTTAAAGCAGGGTTTCTTTTCTATTTTTGTCAAAGCTAACATAACCAACTAGTGTTCAGAAAAGCATTTCAGAGTATCATTACAATATTGGGGAAATTTTACTGCTTCAGCTATGGTCAGGAATCACAATTATTTGTCAACTCTGAATATTTGGCAATAATAGAGAATCGAGCCATAAAATGGAAAATTTAAGATCAGAAATATAAAGCTTCTCTAAATACTTGGCTTTATAAATATTTTGTATTAGTGCTACCTTTTCAGGGGGGAAAAACCCCCACAACTTTCCAGACTTTGTGGAATTTCCAAAGTTGTTACAGATTTATCTTTTTTTTTTTTTCACTTGGAATAATCAAGTATTTATATGCTAGTGTTAAGGCTGAATCACATTTGTGATAGCAGAAAAATCCACAGACTTGAGGCAGTCATGGGTTCATTGATTTCGTTAAGACTCTAGATGTTTCTAATGAGCAGGTATGTTTGAAACCATTGCTCTAGTCTAGCTCAGTGGTGTTGCAAAGCAGGGTCTTAAGTCCAGCAGCATCAGCAACACCTGGGCTCTGATAAAGAAATTCAGATTCCTGGTCCTCATCCCAGACCTACTGAATTGGAAACTCTGAGGGTGAGACTCAGCAATCTAGGTTTTAATCACCATCTAGGTGATTCTGATCCTTGCTCAAAGAACCACTGTGGTTGTAATCCAAGGTCAACTGCTCATGTGCTAGATGACCTTGGGACTAATCTTTGAGAATCACTTTTTCCCATCTGTGAAATGGTGATACTACATATCTGTCCAATCCACACAAAACTATTCCTACAGAAATGAATATGTAGTATCAGATGTGACTGTAATTTTGAGAAGGCTAGGGTGGTGGACACTTGTGGAGAGTATTAATAGTAATAATCCTGCCATTTACTAAACATTAACCATGTTCCAGGAACTATTTATGCATGATTTCTCTCAGTCATAAGTGATGTACATAATACTATCCTCAGTTTTCAGATGAGGACAGTGAGATTTTATGGTTTAAGAAACTCTCACAATGACCCAGCAGAGCCAGCTAGAACCAGATCAGCCCTACTGCGAAGCTAAAGCTAAGCTTTCACCTTTTTGCCTTTATTCAGGTAGCCTGAGGGTGAGGGAAGAAATTCAAACTTTAACAAAATAGGAACTAAATTCTTTATGTACTATCATACCAACCTACTTATTTACCATGCCTAGGGGTCTGATATCTTCTTCCATTTTTTTCTGAAATTATTTTTCCATTTATAGGCCACTTTTAGCAGGTGTTCTTTCATTATTTTAAAGAGTCTTTTCCCTACGTTGTCTCTCTTTTCCCAAATCTACACGTGGTCTAGACTTCGGTGTGACTAAACTGATACTCTCAGCTGATAATGCAATCACCATGTCTTTAACAGCTTCAGCTCTGACCTACTTATCATGTCTGGATTCTTTTATAGCTTTTGAGTCCAAATGAGCTCCCGACCTTGCTAACTGTAGCCCAGCCCCGGGAAATTTCAGACAACATAAAATTCAAGGTCTAAGACTATGTAATAAAACCATAAATCTCATGTTGG